GAATCAAGCAATTGTCTTTCCTGCAACCCGTGGTTGTAGGAAAGAAAATCACACCATCTATGGTCGGCTTTAGGGCTCACCATACTCATTACAGCCTTTTTGTACAATTAAGTATTTAGTGCAAGGCAATGGTTGATTAGATACAAAATGGCTAGATAGATTAAGTAGGTCCTTTTATTATGTAAATCCAAAGTTGATTGTACAGAGATTGTATGATAAGATTGTAATGTGTATGTTGATCCTTAGAAGGTACTGAAAACAATCAGTCAACTGGTCAGGCAGCTGCAGTTTCAGAAGAAGGGCAGCAATGGTAGCCTCTGTGTTTTTGTTAGGAAAGGCTCACATTAAAGCAATCACACATAAACTGAAAAAGACTTAACCACAAAGATTTCTGCTGAATGAATGAAAGAATGAACTAATCAGAATGTAGGCAGGTGGTAGTGTGGGTTCCCCTGTAAGGTGCCTCATCCCCCTGGGGGAAGGCTGGGAGACTAGGCAGGACCTAGGAGGGAGGTGGGTCAGATTGCTGTGATAGAGAAAGCAGCAACATCCATCTGCTGGGTGCCTGCTCTACCCCTTCTTGGGAGATGGCAGGGTGCCCTGGGGATCCCCATCCTAGTTCCAGGACAAAGAAGAAAGAGAGAGCCATTAAAGCTAATTTAACCCTCAGTTTCCCCCATCCTAGGTCAGGAAGAACATAGGCCCATCTCAATGCAGGGAAAATAGCAGCCACCGGCAGGGCCTGGGACCAAGAGTCTGTTCATTATTGGAACCGTGTTGATCTATTGAAGCAATGTATTGAATGAGCCTTTCAGTAAAAGAACATTAATCACATCCAGCCTCCTGATGCCTTTATTCGGAGAGAATGCTGCTCTGAAGAGTGTGAGATAGTCCTACTAGTGTCCCCTGGCTGTCAGGTCCAGGGAAGGTGCCCAGTGTCTGGAACCCCTGGGACTGAATGGGATGAAGCACACAGTTAGGAGGGTGGATCAGGGGTTCACCTCCACCTGTCATCCACACATTGGGGGGAGTCATTGGGCAAAGTCTTGTTTTGTTCAGAAAGTTAGTGTTATGTTGGGGGGCCGGCTCGGCTGCTCACTATGGCCATGATTGAGGCAGCTCGCCACCTGCCAACAAGAGCATGGCAACTAGGGAAAGCCTGCAAAAACCTGCTACGATTACTGCTCTAATTCATCAATAGAATAAGTCAGTGTAAAGATATATGGATCACTTGAAGACTGCAGATCCCAAAGGGCTTTTTTAATTTAATGTAATTTGCATTTTAAATATATTTTTAAAGGGGCTTAATTTTCTAATTAAGAGTTCAGTCCAATAAAATGTGATCATTATAGATAGTTCTTCATGGCCTTAGACAGCCATTTGCTTCTTATATAGCAAAATCTGGAAGTTCAGTCTCATGGTAAGGACTCTATGTACACATATTCATTTAATTTCCTGGTGACCTACCTGCAGCCTGGGAACTACATATTGCCCATTGGCACTTTTCTGTTTATCCGTCAGGGTCCCTGCAGACACTCATCTTTGTTTTTCTGTTGCCCTGTTATTGCAGTAATTTCTAGCAGTCTATATGGAATATGTATCCAGTCTATAACAATCTCCACTGCAGCACGTCTGTAGTCTCTGGCCATCTCTTGAACCATATCTGTAGTCTCTGACCATCTCTTTTTTTCATGTCTGCAGTACTTGACCATTTCCTGTATCATATCTGTAGTCTCTGGCCATCTTCTGTACCATGTCCGCAGTCTCTATTCATCTCTTGTATTGTGTATGCAGTCCCTGACCATCTGTTGTATCATGTCTGCAGTCTCTAATCATCTCTTGTATTATGTGTGCAGTCTCTGACCATCTCTTTTATCGTGTCTGTAGTCTCTGACCATCTCTTGTAACATGTCCACAGTCTCTGACCATCTTCTGTATCAGGTCTGCAGTCTCTGACAATCTCTTATATCATGTCTTCAGTCTGACCATCTCCTATAACATGTCTGCAGTCTCTGACCGCCTCTTGTATTACATCCCCAGTCTGTGACCATTTCTTGTATCCTGTCTGCAGTCTTGGACCATCTCCGGTATTATTTTCACAATCTCTGACCATCTCTTGTATCATGCCCACAATCTTTGATTATACAGTCAGGTCCATAAACATTGGGACATGGACACAATTCTAACATTTTTGGCTCTATACACCACCACAATGGATTTGAAATGAAACGAACAATATGTGCTTTAACTGCAGACTGTCAGCTTTAATTTGAGGGTATTTACATACAAATCAGGTGAACGGTGTAGGAATTACAACAGTTTGAATATGTGCTGCCCACTTGTTAAGGGACCAAAAGTAATGGGACAATTGGCGTCTCAGCTGTTCCATGGCCAGGTGTGTGTTATTCCCTCATTATCCCAATTACAATGAGCAGATAAAAGGTCCAGAGTTCATTTAAAGTGTGCTATTTGCATTTGGAATCTGTTGCTGTCAACTCTCAAGATGAGATCCAAAGAGCTGTCACTATCAGTGAAGCAAGCCATCATTAGGCTGAAAAAACAAAACAAACCCATCAGAGAGATAGCAAAAACATTAGGCATGGCCAAAACAACTGTTTGGAACATTCTTAAAAAGAAGGAACGCACCGGTGAGCTCAGCAACACCAAAAGACCCGGAAGACCACGGAAAACAACTGTGGTGGATGACCGAAGAATTCTTTCCCTGGTGAAGAAAACACCCTTCACAACAGTTGGCCAGATCAAGAACACTCTCCAGGAGGTAGGTGTATGTGTGTCAAAGTCACCAATCAAGAGAAGACTTCACCAGAGTGAATACAGAGGGTTCACCACAAGATGGAAACCATTGGTGAGCCTCAAAAACAGGAAGGCCAGATTAGAGTTTGCCAAACGACATGTAAAAAAGCCTTCACAGTTCTGGAACAACATCCTATGGACAGATGAGACCAAGATCAACTTGTACCAGAGTGATGGGAAGAGAAGAGTATGGAGAAGCAAAGGAACTGCTCATGATCCTAAGCATACCACCTCATCAGTGAAGCAAGGTGGTGGTAGTGTCATGGCGTGGACATGTATGGCTGCCAATGGGACTGGTTCTCTTGTATTTATTGATGATGTGACTGCTGACAGAAGCAGCCGGATGAATTGTGAAGTGTTTCAGGAATATTATCTGCTCATATTCAGCCAAATGCTTCACAACTCATTGGACGCTTCACAGTGCAGATGGACAATGACCCAAAGCAGACTGCAAAAGCAACCAAGGAGTTTTTGAAGGGAAAGAAGTGGAATGTTCTGCAATGGCCAAGTCCATCACCTGACCTGAATCCGATTGAGCATTTCACTTGCTGAAGACAAAACTGAAGGGAAAATGCCCCAAGAACAAGCAGGAACTGAAGACAGTTGCAGTAGAGGCCTGGCAGAGCATCACCAGGGATGAAACCCAGCGTCTGATGATGTCTATGCGTTCCACACTTCAGGCTGTAATTGACTGCAAAGGATTTGCAACCAAGTATTAAAAAGTGAAAGTTTGATTTATGATTATTATTCTGTCCCATTACTTTTGGTCCCTTAACAAGTGGGAGGCACATATGCAAACTGTCATAATTCCTACACCGTTCACCTGATTTGGATGTAAATACCCTCAAATTAAAGCTGACAGTCTGCAGTTAAAGCACATCTTGTTTGTTTCATTTCAAATCCATTGTGGTGGTGTATAGAGCCAAAAATGTTAGAATTGTGTCCATGTCCCAATATTTATGGACCTGACTGTATATCCTCTTGTGTGTCTGCTGTCTCTGACACTAAGTATTCACTGACTTTTATTGCGGCCCTTTGGGCCTCAAGAGCCACATTTTGAGGCCCCCATATCAAGAAAGTGGACTGCCACTGATTTAACTGAAGTGCTCATAGACCAGAAGGCCACTAGGTGGCATTTCAAACACACTATATGTGATGTGAAAAAAAGTGACCACAAAGCCGACAGTTTAAAGTCCAAGTATTTTCAATGATAAAAATGTCTGTTATCAAGCCTTTAATATACCATACCTTCTGATCAATACAAATACTGGGACTTTTAACCTTTGGTTTGGTGTTCTTTTTTCCTCATATTACTGGTTTATTGTATGTCTTGGATAATTCAAAGGTGAGATCTCCCACTGTAATTCCTGGCTCTGGTTTGTCCATCTGGGTTTTTTTGCCTGTTTCTTTGCAACCTTTGTTGGTTGTTTTTCCTCCTGTTGCATTTTGCATACTTAATAAATCCAACAAGGAAAGTAGGATCCCTTCATATTGGCCGTAGCAGCTATGTAAACCCAGGACTCAGATTCAGACATCTCACTAAGGACTAGGGTCCTCAAAACGTATATGAAATGTTTAGCTGGTTTAACTTACCAGCATCTATCAAAAAAGTGTATTTTTGCAATAAAATTTGAAAAACCCCATTAAATGTTTATGTGTTTCTATTCATCTAAAAACATTTCTTAAATATTTCTTACCTTTTTAGCTGTTTCTGTGGCGCAGACTGCAAACTGTTCTAAATATATTCAGTGGGGCCAAAGCCAGTATAGCACTCACCCCCAAAGGGGCCACTAGTCATTAGCAGTGGGCTTTTTTTTCTTCCAGCCGATCACTGGCATTGGGCATTATGTTCCTCATCAACCACAGACAGTGGTAATTTCCTGCTGCTGACTAGCAATGTAAGGGGCGCTATGACATATACTGCTGACCTCTGCACTCTATACAATATATTGAAAAGAACAAACTGCTTATCGCTGTACATTAAATACTCCCAACCAAAGTGTTCATTGTCTCAACAGTTGTAGGTTGCTTAGCAGACCCTGACAGTTTTAACTGCCTCCCACCCTCCATATAGTAAAATGACGGACGCAAGGCGGTTCTCTTGTTCTGGGAGGACGTCATATGATGTCCTCCCATTCTAACCACGCATGCGCGGCTCCTGGAGCGCGGCAATTGGTGGTGCGCTGTGTCCCTTGAACACAGCAGATCACTGATCAACGGAAAGGGCTGAGGATGTCGGCTCAAGTCATGTGATCAGCTATGTCCAATCACAGCTGATCACATGTAAACAGGGAAATGCCGGTTATCTGCATTTCTCTCTCCTCACGAGCTGTCACGCTGACAGCTCGAGAGAAGAGGAGAGCCAGTAATCGGCATCCCTCAGAGGGGACATATACACTGATCATCAGGGCACTGATGATCAGTGTGCCCTGATGATCTGTGTAGCCCCAGCAGCGCCACCTGTCAGTGTCCATCAGTGCCAGCTCTCAGTGCTCATCCATGCCACCTGCTAGTGCCCATCAGTGCCACATTTCAGTGCCACATATCAGTGGCCATCTGAGCTGCCTTTCAGTGTCACCCATCAGTGCCAGTCAGTGCCACCTATCAGTGCTGCCAATCAGTGCCACCTATCAGTGCCAGTCAGTGTCGCCTATCCGTGTGCATCAGTGCTGCCTATCAGTGCCACCTAACAGTGCCAGTCAGTGCCGCCTATCAGTGCCAGTCAATGCCGCCTATCAGTGCCACCTATCAGTGCCATATATGAGTGCTGCCTTTCAGTGCCCATCAGTGATGCCTCTCAATGCCCTTAAGTGCCACCTACCAGTGCCTCCTCATCAGTGCCACCTATCAGTGTCCATCAGTGCAGCCTATCAGTGCCCATTACTGCAGCCTCATTAACGCACATCAGTGAAGGAGAAAATCACTTATTTACAAAATTTTATAACTAAAACTAAGAAAAAACGTTTTTTTTTTTTTCCAACTTTTCAGTGGTTTTTGATTTGTTTAAGAAAAAAAAAAAAACCCAGAGGTGATTAATTACCACCAAAACAAAGCTCTGTCACAAAACAAGATAAAAACTTCATATGGGTACAGTGTTGCATGACCGCGCAATTGTCATTCTAAGTGCAACAGCGCTGAGAGCTGGAAATTGGCCTGGGCAGGAAGGGGGTGAAAGTGCCCTGTAGGCTTGTGGTTAATGATGTTCTTCCTTAAGGTAGGCTCAGACAAAGTATTATCTTTTTGTCCATTTTCAGTGTGTGCAAAACCATATGTAATGGAAGGTTTTTTTAATGATTGTGCTGAGGTTAAGTGTGTCTGTGAGACTCTTGCTTGTGGCCCAGCAATCAAATTATATTTTATAGGAACAAGGAAACCCAGGTTTTGTTTAACCATAATCCTTAAGAACCTCTCATTGTTAATTTTGGCCACATACACTTTTTGCCACATCACACATAGGTCCCTGTTTCCATGAAGTGTCCCTCATTCTCAATTTCTAAAATTGGAAGGTATACACATGCCTTACAATTATAAGGCCATATAAGTAATAACAAGCGTGATGGTCAGGTGTCCAGAAACATTTGGCCATATGGTATATCTTTAGATGTCTCTGTGGGAACTTCTATTGCTGCGAATCCTGGATGCTGTAACAGGCAAATTCCAACACTCCCCTTCCTGGACACTTCCTAATTTAGTCCTGCTTCCCCTCTATTCCTTGCACCTTGTCAAATGAATTAAGGTTTTTTACATGAATTCATTCTATACCTTAAGGCAGAGGTCCCCAAGCTGTGGTCCAGGCCCCAGAAGCGGCCCTTTGCCAGCCTTTAACCGGCCCTTGGGGCACTATTCCTCCCACTGACACCAACAATGGTGCACTATTTCTTCCACTGATACCAATGATGGGTTATTATTCCTTCAAATAATTATAACAGGTACTTATATAGCACCATCAATTTACGCAGCACTTTACATATATATTGTACATTCACATCAGTCCCTAACCCTCAAGGGGTGTACAATCTAAAGTCCCTAACTTACATTCATACAAACACATACTAGGGCCAATTTAGACAGGATCCAATGAACCTACCAGCATGTCTTTGGAGTGTGGGAGGAAACACAGGCACAGGGAGAACATGCAAACTCTAGGCAGGTGGTGCCATGGTTGGGATTCGAAACAACAACTCTAGTACTGCCAGGTGGAAGTGCTATCCATTTAGCCACTGTGCTGCCCATGATGGGGTAATACTCTTACTGACCACCAACCCTGAGGCTATGTTTATTCTCACTGATGCTGGGCCTTGGACATTTCTACCCCCACTGACCACAATCCGGCCTCCCTAAAGTCTGAAGTACAGTAAACTGGCCCTTTGAATGGAAAGTTTGGAGACCCCTGCATTAAGGTAAAAAAAACCTTCAGTAGCTTTTTCAACACCCCCCCCCCCCCCCCCGTATTGATACAGTGCCTTGCTCATCTGCAGGTCTTCTCTTTCCTCTCTCTCACAATCATGGCTGAGAGCAATGGGGGTTATTGGCATTTAAAGTCATTTTAAAAAAATCAGTTATACTTACCTGTTCTGTACAACAGTATTGCACGGTGATTCCCTTACCTTCTTATGGCGGTCCCCTGCCAGTGCTGTCAACACCTTCTTCTTCCAAGTGTCCTCTTAGCAAGCCACTCACTATGGCTCCCACTGCTGCCCATGTCTCCTTTGAGACCAGAAAGTGAAAAAGAAATGCTGCAGCTGAGACAGCAATGGAGCAATGATACAAGCCAGGTAAGGGTTTAGGGATGGAGGAGAAAAGATAGTGGGGTATTTTTTTACTTTAATGTGTAGCACCCTCTTTGATATTTGTTAGGTTAGGTAAATATAGTTATTTGGCTCTCCTGTAATCCTGTAATCAGTGAAGTTACTTGGGATTATGCTGGTCTGCCCTGAGTTTCACAGGCTGCGGGTTTGGCTGTTTCTCCCTGCTTTCTGGATGGTTCTGGAAAGTAGTGGGCTGGGAGAGACAAATCGGCAGAAGAAAAATGTATGCAGTCCCAGACAATCCCTGGGGAGGGTGCCCAGATGGTTGCTGGGAGTGAGCATAAATAGTCTGAGGCTTGGAGTAGAAAGTTTTTTGTCCAGGAGGAGCAGATCCCAGCCTGAAGGGCTGAAGTTCAAGCTGTGCTTTTCTTCATTTTGTTCAACAAGGTCCCAGCTCTACTAGCTGGGGGGCCTATTTTACTGAACTCCGCTGAAGCTGACTAAGGGACTTCTTTTTGGGATCTGCTCTAAGGAATTCACAGAAGATATGTCTGGAAGGAAGGAGGCATCCACAACTGTCCAAAGACATTAGTGAGTACAGACCAGTGTTTGAGATCCCAGTAACAGGAAAGTTATGCTCAAGGCCATGCTCAAAGAAATGCCTGTGCTCAAAGGAATGTCATGTTCAAAGGAATGTGCATGCGTGCAGAACAGTCCATAGAACTGTGCACAGCATTAGGACCCTGCAAGCATCATTATGGGCACATGAGCATTAGCATTGTGCATATGCTCATGTACATAAGTTTTCTTGTACATAAAGCCTGCCAGGACTCAGGTTCATTACTTAGCTCTTTCTGTTTGTGACCTGATCCTGTGCTCATCTGCTCATCCTGACCTGGCTTATCCATCCTGCTTGTTCCTGAACCTCTGTTGCTGACTTTGGCTTGCAACCCGACATTGATTCCTGCCTGCTGTTCCCGTACATCTTCTGTTTGCTTGATGCTGTCCTTCACCGGACTCCAACTCTGCTCCTGGTTCCTGCCTTTGCACTCCTTCTGCCTGGTTGCTGCTGACCTCTGCCCATCTGACCACACATCCGAGATCCAGTATGTTTCTACTGCCAGTTGGCCTTCTCCAGCTCCCAACATTTCTGCTTCCAAGAACCGGATCTCCATCAAGCACCCATGCCACTTTGTGCCTCGTTATACCCTGTCATCATTCCCAGGGGGAATAAGGACAAGAGGTGTAAGGGCATCCCTCTCCTCAGCTCGGTCTCAACCAGGTACATGGCAGATTGTGTGTGCTGCTGCTATCCCTCTTGCATCAGAGTCAGCTTGTACTAGAAGTGGACACTATTCATGGTATCCCTGTGTAGCTTGGCCCATACTTTTCCACTGCAAGGACTGTTCTCACAATCTTTAGGAGGAAGATAGGTTGCCTCAAGTTGCCACTGAATGTTGTTGGAGTATCCCATGGTTACTCTACACATATCCCAGTTCTAGTTCTTAATAAAGCATCAAAAGAATACCCTTAGACTGTTTAATGAGCCGGATGAGTATTGGTTGCTGTGTGCCTGGCTGCCTCTGCACTGAATAGGAATAAATCTGGGCAAAATTCCAGCGGCCCCTGCGGTGGCATACGATGCATTAAAGTGTTGCTAAACCCACAACTGTAAATCAGTCTGTATATACAGTAAAGCATGCTTGTTATATTCACTATGGAACCTAAAGGGTATATACTCTGTATTGTGTCAAAAGGCAGTTTGATCTGTTTTCTCTGCCCCTCCTCTTGTTCAAATATCCACATCTCCTGATAACTCCTGATAAGACAGACTTAACCCATAGCCACATGCACATGCTCAGTTTAGTGTGTATTGCTACAGGTTTTTTTTTTTTTCTTGGGAGAGTGCATGTGATCAGCACAGGGCCAATCAGCCCTGTCCAGACAGAGGTCAGGGGTTCTCCATTCTCCTAGATCAGAAATAAAACTCCTCCTACAAGCTTTAACCAGTGCTCTGCTGGGAACTGATAGAAGTCAGCAGTCAAAACTGCTCTAACTGCTGATGGGAAAAGGTTTTTATCAGTTTATATTTACTAAAATAATTGCACTTCGATGTTCTGTGTACTGTGAGAGACAGATATAGTGAATGCTGGGTCCTGGGTTTAGTAACACTGTAAGGTAAAAAATGTTGTAACTTTAGACTCACTTTAAGCATAAACATTTCAGATAATTATTATTATTATACAGGATTTATATACAGTATAATGCCAACAGTTTTATTATTATTATACAGGATTTATATAATGCCAACAGTTTTTTTTTTTATTATTATTATACATGAATTATATAGTGCCAACAGTTTATGCAGCGCTTTACAAAATGAAGATAGACATTACAGTTACAATACAATTTGGTACAAGAGGAAACAGAGGGCCCTGCTCGTTAGAGCTTCCAATCTAGGAAATGCAACAACATCTCTATTGGGTCTGAAACTTTACTAAAGCAGTAAAAGTTTATTGCAATAAAGAAGAAGCAAACTGAGCTACCGCATGTCAAGGTCTCTATGATTAAGCCTAGATCTTTGGCAAACCACATCAAAGAAGGAGCGTAGACCGGTGGGGTTATCATCAGCGTGGGTCAAAAAATTGCAGGTGCTGACATGCGATAGTGTGGCTTGCTTCATGTATATTGCAGTGAGAGAGAAACCCTCACAGCCAGCACAGCACTCTGTTATACAGTTTGTAATACACTGTATCTATGATGATTTGGTGTGCTTTTAATTGTAACAAGAAAAGTTGTCCACATCCTTGCAAATCTTCTGCCAATTTAAACCAGCTTTTGAGTGTAAAATTTAAGAAAAGGTCAAGGAAACCTACCATCAAAATGTTTTATATGCATATGGCAGGGATGATGTTAGGTTGTCATGATCTATTCATTTATTCAGTG